AGGTTTGGATTAGCTGTAAGGAAGAAATTCTTTATGATGAGGGTGTTGAGGCACTGGAATGGATTGCCAGGGAAATTGTGGATGCCCCCTCCCTGGAAGTGTGTAAGGTCAAGTTGGATGGAGCTCCGAGCAACCTGATCTGGTGAAAGATTTCCTTGCTCATGCCGGGGGGTTGGAACCAGGTGATCTATTAAGGTCCCTTCTGACCCAAAGCATTTTATGATTCTAAGTGGGGAGGGATTACTGGTTGACTATTAATGAACACAACGTATGAATTTGCTGAAGATAGAGCAAAGAACATGTGTGCTGTCAGCAGGTATTCAGGAGGATGTTTGTGCATGTTAGGATATCTATATTCAGAAAAGGGGGGAGGGGCTTGGCCCTCTCATTTGGTTTAAACTATGCCATGGATGTCTATGTTTTTTGTAGTTAAATTCTGTTTAAAAGATTGAGTTAAGTAATTTTAAGAAATGTCACATTTCTTAATTTTGTAAGCGAAACTCAATTTTTTCAAAAACAAAAAGCAAGTGTTGCATTAAATGTTGTGAAATTGCAAGTAGGTATTTTACACTGGGCCCTCACTGTGTCCCTAGTACAAATGCTGCTGCTTCAGACTTCTGCCATGCACTGAGAGACATAAATCACCAGTTTTCCGAGTGAATGTACTTTTCAAAACAAAATGTATTTGTAGGAAATTAAAAGCTTCTTAAACATAATTATGGAAAAATAAGTTAGAAGAGTGGGGTGGTTTGTTTTTTTTTTTTTTTCTTGGCTTCTTCCAGGTACTAAATTTGGGATTTGTGTTTTCCTTGAAACAGCTGTTAAAACCTGGAACAGGTGTATCTGTTGTCCAAAAAGCCTGTCTCTACAGAAATACGTTGTTAATTTTGCTGGGGGTTTTGGTTAATTTTTTCTTTTTCTAGCTTGAATTATCTGTCCTTAAATTTAATGCTAAATTTGGCTCTCTGCTACCTGGAATAAAGTAATGGGATGCTAGCAACAAAACATATTATCCTGTTGTTTTTTGGCATATTCTGGATGTGTGGTACTGAGATACCTGACTGCACACAGGTGGTGTTTCAGGATCAGTTGTGTGCAACTCTTCTGTGTTTCCCAGCACGGTATTGTAGCTTTCTTGATGCTTTGAACCACCCCATCCCCTTTTTTTTCCTGATCATTTCAAAGCTGATGGACTGGCCAGGTGTGGTCCCAGGGTATCTACCTGAGTCAGCAGTTCCGCCTCCTCATAGCTGTTTATGTCATAGGTGAAGTAGCTACTGTTCCTATCTCTTCTGGGACTGGTTTTGGATTGGCAAGGTGGCTTTTTGACTCTAGGCTGATTTTACATTCGCTCACATAACCTGTGAATTGCTTCTGCTGGTATTTTGGGTGTTGAGAGTGCTGACCAGGAATACCCAAACTGACTCTGCTGAGGCACTGCCTGAATGTAAGCAAAATGTTTCTGGCAACTGTAGTGGCCCCAGCAGTAGTTTAGCTCTAGTTGCACATGATCCAGCCAAGCCAGTAGCCGGGATGAGTGACCCACGGTCTGGTGAATCACCTGTGGCTAACTGGAAGTTGAGCACAGAGCTGTGAGTGTAAAACAGAGAAGAAACTGGTTGGAGACTCTTGATTTTCTGCTTCTTTTCTTCCTTTCCCCTGTGGTGGTGAAGAGCATTTATATCTCTGAATTCTAGAAGTGTATTGCTTTTCATTGTATAAGCAGCATGCAAGTAATTCAGAGTATTTTGCAACAGCAATTAGCATTAGTGAGAAGTAGTAACAGTTGTTTTAAAAGTAGATTTCTAGCTGTGAACTGGTTATAATTTCACTGTTTTAAAGGAAATCCTTTCAAGCTAAGAACACTCATACTTATGCTTGGACAAACCAGTTTTTTTCAGTTGGTCTTTTGACAGCTATGCAAAGTTTTAGTTAAAACTGGTTTTGACAGGAAAGGATAGAAAAAAGCATCTCATGTTTGCAGGGAGAAGAAATCCTTTTTCTCTGGGAAACTCCAATATGGCTGAAGAATGTCTACATGTTAACTTCAGAGTGATAAGTTATAAACAACATGTCCTATATTTAAGATTGTCTAATCCTTTCCACTGTGATCCTGTTTACGGTTGCATTTTACTGTGTTAAATGTAAACAATTCTGAATTATGTTTTCTGAGCTAGCAGTTTGCTGAAAGTTGAATGAATCTTAGGAAATTAAAGATATTGTTAACATCTTTATGGATATTCGTCTAGTTCAATATGTTGCATTGCTCAGGGTGTGTAGTAGGAGAGAGGGGTCTTTTGGCTTTGTTTCTGTTCCAATGACCATTTTATGGAAAAACTCCCAATTCTTCCTGTATTTAGGAAGGAAATAAAAAATTGTCCATGGATGGTCATGCCCATTGTCAGGGCTCTATTTTTGAGCTAATGTGCTTCTAAACGTGTGTTGAAAACAAAAATACAATGTAGGTTAAGTCAAGAATATTCTTAAAACTGGTTTGGCATTTTGTATCTGTTCTTTTTATGTATGAAAGCAGCAAATACTAGACAGTCCCTTGTCTGTTAACACCTAGGGTTGAAGGAGAAAAGAGCAGCATTTTGTTCAAAGCCATATATTGTGCATAATCAGAGGTTTTCACAGCAAGTAAATAGCCTTGGATGATGGAGTCCTGACTCGGTGTGAAGGAAGGAGTTGTTTCCAATTATCACTTATCAGTCATCGCTATGAAGTCAGTTAATGTACAGTTCTCACTACATAGCAAACTTGTGATGAATATCTGTCATGCTGGATTGCTTTTGCTAGGAGATGTATGTACAAGTAAAAAGAATAGAGGTATTACTGCATCCCGGGAGAAAATTGTTGTGCAGCTTCGCTACTTCTATACTGTGGCTGTTTTGGTGGTTAGATACTAATGAAGTTAGAAAGCTGTGTTAAAATTGAGAACCCAGCTGCATTTTTGCTTAAACATTTGTAATGTTTATGTAACTTCTGATATATTATTTCTCTGAGTTAACGCAGTGAATGGAGGAAGTCTAAAGGTACAGGAGGAAGGCTGAGGTACTGAACAACTTTTTTGCCTCAGTCTTACCTGGCAACCTTTCTCCTCACCCCTCCTGTGTTGATGGACTGCATGAGGGGGACCAGGAGGGTAAAACCCCTTCCACTGTAAAAGAAGATCAGGTTCGTGACCACCTGAGGAACCTGAACACACATAAATCCATGGGACTTGAAGAGATGCATCCCAGAGTCCTGAGGGAATTGGCCGATGTAGTC